TGGCAACTTTAAGACTTGCGGACTTCAACTCCCAGAATTCCAGTGAGCCAGATCCTGAGGGAATATCATGGCCTTACGTAGATTGCTGGCTGAGGAATTCTGGGAGTTGAAGCCCACAAGTCTTAAAAGTTGCCAAGTTTGGAGACCTCTGGTCTATTGGTGTAATGTATGTATACGTTGTGCAAATTTAGTTGATTCATTTTTTTAGCTAACTGAGATAGGTGAGCACACCTGTTATCGGAAAGTATTTTATGAAGATCTCTATGGAGATTCTCTATCAGCCAGGTCATCGTTGTCCCCAAAGTGCTTTTTTTCCCCCCAAAAGGCAACTGGACTTCCTTGTTTTATTTTTTTTCCCCTTCTCATCCAAGATGCTTCAGTCTTCTGGGAAAAGCTCCTTTGGGAAATGTTTTGTAAAAAAAAAAAAAAAAAGCACAAACAGGCTGTTCTATTAAACGTCCTGCTTTGGCACATGAATGTAGACACCCAGAGTGACAATTGGGACAAAGAGATTGCTGAGTGAAAGCTTTCCTGGAGAGGTGGGTTTCTGCGCCATAGATGAAGCTTCTGGCCTGTTCGTTCTCCTGCTTCGTGTTTTCAGTGCCGTTAGGTGACTTCATGACTTCGAGCCACCGGGCGCTCAAGAAGGGTTGAACAGGCATGTGTGAATCAGTCAATCAAAGTCAAGGTTGAAAGCCTGCGGTGAAACAATGGCCCTTTGGCAAACCAGCGGGCCTGGGGACGGACGAGAGCAGTCTATCAGAAAGTACACATTGACCTAAAAAACCTGGCAACTCTTTTCTCCTTGCAGGGAAACACTGGTGTGTTTGGCTGCCTGTGATAAGCTGAACCACTCGCTGAAATAGCAGTTTGCACTCCGCGCTGCTAATTTAGAAACCTAGTAATTGCGCAGGGATGAGGTTGTGAGTCGCGCGTTTGGTAACCCCCGGGGGTGAAGCAACATTGGGCAAGAGGTTAGCCTTAGTAAGCGCAGGTGTGAAACTTGGATCTCATCAGCCAGTTGGAGAGCAGGTACTACAATCTGAGTCATATTTTCCATGTACAGGACCAGCTAGGAGAGAGGGAAGGGAGGAGGAAGGTCAGGGCAAGGAGGCTGGCCAGCCAACGGTGTGCCCCACCCCACAGAAAATATTTAATCCACAAATATAAGATTAAACAGCACTCCAGCAATGCAGGGTTTGGGGGAAGAGAATTCCGCATAAAAGCTGCGAAACCTGCACGGCTCTTTCTGTATATGTGTTGTGAATTGAGGGGTGGGGAATGTTGTATAAACTGAACTAGAGAGTTACAACTATTTCAGGAACAAAAGGGATGTAAGTTTTGGCTGCCATCCCATCAGCGAGTTAAGGCTTGATGTCACCGAGACAAAACTGGCTTTCATCCAAGCCCATCGTTGCCCTGTGAATGTGGCTTGCTGTAATGGAGACTCTTCCATGAGCGTGTCATTTCCTTCACCTCCTTCGGTGACTGACAACCCATTGAAAATAGTTGTGCATTGGATACCGACTCTCTTGTGGCCTCATTCAGGCATAGAAGTTTTGCAGTGGTTTTGAGAGGTGGCAATTCTAAAGGAAGCAAACGATGGCTAACTTATTCCCTTTAGCTGCATTACAGATAGTTCTCAACTTACGACTACAGTGGAGCCCACAGTTGCCATTCCTAAACAAGACAGTTGCTAAGTGAGTTTTGGCCCCATTTAATGAACTTTCTTGGCACACGGCAGTTAACACTTCAGTGGTTCAGTTAGTAACACGGTTTTAATGGAATCTGGCTTCCCCATTGATATTGCTTGAGAAGGTCTCAAACGGTGATCACATGACCCCCAGGCGCACTGCAACCGTCATAAATATGAGTCCATGGCCAAGCCCCTGAATTTTGATTAAGTGACCCTGGGGTCATAACTGTGAAAAACGGTCCTAAGTTACTTTTTTTTAAATGCCGCTGTAACTTGAAACGGTCACTAAGCTAATAGTTGTAAGTCAAGGACTACCTTTATAACTTTGTGTCCTTGAATGAGCAGAAATGCATTTTTACTCATTGAGCCATGAGTTCCATTGGTTTAATGTTTCAGGGAGCAGGTGTGTGAGCCATTGGGGTTCAAAAGCCAGGCTCCCGAGCCTGTTGACTGCACCATTCAATCAACAATAGCTCACACGTATAATAAAAGTGGAAGTGTCCTTGAGGCTGACGAACTTAGGTGAACTCCATAGCATGTGCTTTATATGCTTTTATCACCTCTGCAGATTAACCCTGTGTAGATACTCTCCGCGGTGTTTTGATATGCAGGTTGCTGTTTCAGAAGAGCGGCCGAACATTCGAGAGACGCACGGGTGTGCTCTCTTTGCACGTTATGTGTGTGAACGTGGCGTTTACATCTCTGGCATTCTAACTGAGGTTCTCTCCTCTTCTGTCCCTCAGGATGCAGCTGAGACTGGAAAGCCTGGAAGACACCCACATCATGAAAGGGGAGGATGATGCTTTGTCAGACAAACACGGCTGTCCAGCATACGTCAGTCCGGAAATCTTAAATACAACAGGAACCTATTCCGGGAAGTCGGCTGACGTTTGGAGCTTGGGAGTTATGCTGTACACTCTCCTAGTAGGACGGTATCCCTTTCATGACTCGGATCCTACCGCCCTCTTTTCCAAAATCCGGCGTGGACAGTTCTGCATCCCTGAGCACGTCTCTCCCAAAGCGCGGTGCCTCATCCGCAGCCTCCTTAGGCGAGAACCCTCTGAAAGACTCACCGCTCCGGAAATTTTGCTCCATCCTTGGTTCGACGCTGTTTTGGAATCTGGGTATGCCGACCAGGATATACGGATCTCTGATCAAGTGGTCCCGGAGCAACTGAAGGAGGACGATGATATGAGCTTCTTCTTTTGCTAGCTCCGCCGACTCCCTTTGCCTCGGGGACGAGAGAATGTTGCTCTTGCGTTCCGCGTTTTGTGTGTGTGTCCGTTTTTGTGTGTTGGTGCACATGTGTGTGTCCATCTTGTAAATGCATCGCTTTCCAAAAGCCTTCCTCTGCTCAGGATGACTGAGACCTCAAATGCACTCATCCCACAGGTGGAGGGCCTCTTTATCTTCTCCCACGTCCACCTGGAAAGCTTCCAGAAAGTTTGAAATCCTGGCTTGCTAAATCTATGGGTTCTTCCTTGGTGTTTGGGGGACTCTGCCATCCATTCCAGTGCAAGCGTGCTTGCTGAACGTTTGAACTAGAATCTGGAGAAACAGCAAGCTAATGTTGGATTTCATTGGAAAATCAGATTGCTTTAGCTGGAATTTGAAGTACGGGCAAGTCCTTGACTTATAGCCATCCACTTAGTGACCATTTATAAAGTTACAACTTTATAAAGGGGGGGGGGGAAATGACCTAGGACTGATTGTCACACTTAACAACAGCATTGCAGCATTCCCCACAATCACGTGATCAAAATTTGGCCACTTGACAACATGTATTCCTGATGGTTCCAGCATCCTCTGGCCTCATGTGGGGTCACCATTGGTGAACTTTCCAGCCAAACACAGTCAACAGGGGATGCCGGATTGGCTTAACAACTGCTTAATGCTCTTTACAAGCAGATTGTAAAATGGAGTGTGACTCACTTAAACAACTTGCCTTGCTTAGCCGTGGAAATTTTGGGTCTCGGTTGTGGCCATAAGTTGAGGACTTCCTGTATAAATATTGCAGCCTCTGTTGCTTTCCTTCTTTCCTTCCTCTTCATAGAAAAGAGCTTTTGAGCTCCCTATGCCTGTTCACATCCACATGGCCTGGTTTTGCTGCCCAGTTTACTGTTACAGCCATGGCAGAAGTGCCAGAGGATTCTCCTGCCTCCAGTCCATCACATGGAGATGACAGGATCGCCAGCTGGCCTTTGATTACAGAATCTTTTAGCTGGTGATGTAAGAGCGAAATGCAGCTGAGGTTCTTAACGAAGCTGGGCAGATTACAGGTTAACAGAGTTATAAGGGACCTTGTAAGTCATCTAGTCCAACCCCCTGCCCAAGCAGGAGAGCCTATACGCCAGGCAGGACCAGGACATGATCCCAGTGCTAGAAAGATGGGTTGGCATGTATATATATATAGATGTGGATAGGAGTCTGACAATGATTTTGAATAATCCGTTTCCCTCACGTGGCTCTCGTTATCTTTCAGGCCAGAGTCCAATGGTTGTTTTGTTAGTTTCTTAGACAACAGAAAGTCCAACTTGAATGTTTCGATCTTCAAGGCAACAGGCTGTGTATCCCAGTCTTGCAAAACCTGTTGATCTTAGAGGCTTTACAGTTCGAAACCCAACTTGGTTAATCCAGACTTAAGGCTGCTGCTTAGCCTTTCAAGAGAGCTGTCGTTGAAGGGACAAATCCGGCAGCTAAATCTTTTGTTATTTTGACCTGCAGAGCCTTTGATAATCTAGAATTAAGTGCCCTTGAGAGGCTGAATACAGAGACTTGGTCACTTTGGGGGTGTTTGAGGCCTGGTTTCCACAGATGTCAATGCCTTGCATTGTGGTGCCAATCCCAAAGGTGCCAAACTGCTTTTAGCTTCCAGTGTTTTCTTTTTAAAAAAAAGAAAGTTCAGAGCCATTAAAAGGAATATCCCTGGCTTTAGGAAAAAGACCCCAGTCTCTCCATACGTAACAACCTCAGTGGACCTCCTAAAATGGCTTCCGTGCCCTCTGAGTGAAGGGGCTCTCAGCGCTGTTTTGGCAGCTATATTCTTGAATATCCATGGGATTTTAACCCCGAAAAGCAGACAGATATATGCCCCTAGTGAGGGAGGGAGGGTCTCCAGCCTTGGCAACTTTTAAGACTGGTGGACTTCTACTCCCAGAATTCCCCAGCCAGCTTGCCTGGCTGGGGAACCCTGGGAGTGGAAGTCCACCAGGTTCTCCTCTCCTTAGAACAGTACATTTAGCAACCATTTGAAAATTACAACTGCACTGATAAAAAAAACAAAAAGGGGGGGGGGGGAATTACAACGGTTTGTCACGCCTAGGAATGTTGCGGCATCCCCACGCGATCAAAATCAAGATGGGGAGGGGCAAAACTCACTGTCTCACTTAGCAACAGAAACATTTGGGGCTCAGCTGTGCTGGTAAGGCAGAAGGGCCGCCCGTATTTGATAGAAAAGGTGAAGCCGGCCTTTCAACTTCTTCCATGACTCAGCAGTCGAACAGATGGGGGTGCGCATGTGACTTGACAATAGCGCACTGTTTATATGTTGGTGTCTTTTAAGTACAAGTGTTAGCCAAGGGAGGATCTGTGTATGCTTACCAAGGTGTGACACGTTCACACCCTCTGACATCGCCAGCAAAACGGAGTTCCAGGAAACAAACAGAAAAGGGCTTCTATCTCCAACTCTGGTTTTGTCACCCAAGTATGCTAACAACCCAAGACCAGAGGCCTCCAAACTTGACCACTTTGAGACTTGTGGACTTCAACTCCCAGAATGCCTCAGCCAGCCTGCCAGCCCTTTTTGCTGGCGATGTCAGAGGGTGTGAAGGGCAATTTGGTAAACATGGCTTGCTGAGGCATTCTGGGAGTTGAAGTCCACTAGTCTTAAAACTGCTGAGTTTGGAGACCCCTCGGCCCAAGACCACACCCGCAGAGAATCCAGTCATTCCAGATAACACTTTCAAAGCCCAGTCTTGGCTTTTAGATGCCAAACGTTAGCGGAAGCCATCAATTTTAAGCATGCTTTCTTAAGCAGTCATGTGAAAGGGCCTGTTTCTGACCTTGCTTGGTTCTCTTGTATCTGTGGAACTGGGTGTTGCTCTCCAAACAGCCTCAACATCCGAATACAAAACACACCAGCTAAGGGTGGGGTGGCCTAACCTGAGAATTGAAGATAAGCTGTATCTCGTTGTGTAGACTGAAAGGCAGTTGTGTTTTGGCTTTTTGTGCAAGTGTGTGATGCAATGCACTGGCTCCCTCTGTTCTTGCCCAGGAGCTCAACCAGGAAGCAATACCAGCGTGTTTTCCTTTTGACTTTGCCAACTCTAATCTATAAAACTCTCCTTTCTTCTGTCTTCTGCGTTTTCGTTTCTTTCTGGCTGTAAGAGATGGTCCTATTTTAATTTGTGATCCATAATTAATGGATCTTTTGCATAAGCATTAGCTTCCCGAGTGGGATAATGAAGTCTTTGACATTGGTGTTAATTCCTGTTAGTGTAAAAACAGGCTCTCGTTGCTGAGTTGTAGCTCATCCAGACAGGAAAATTTGAAAGAAGCTTGTGATAATTGGAAGATAAGTTGGTTTCTTTTGCTGTCGATAATCGCAGTCCAAAATAAGCTGAATCTGTTGTGGGCAGGCTTGTGAGTGTGTCTGTGCAGAATCCACAAAGAGCATGTTTGATGGGAAAGCTCTTAGCTTACCAGGACTTTCAAGAACTAAAACTACAACTTCCAGTATGACTGGTGGTGAGGCATGCTGGGAATTGTAGTTCAGCTAAATGTGAAAGGCCTTATATGCTGGATAAGACCGCACTGTAGACTAATGTAGCTTTATCTTTCAAGTTACAATGGGAAATGTAGTTCCATGAAACCATTGCGGATAATAAGTGGCATATAATGACTGCAATAGCCGTTTCTTGGAGACAGAGCTGAAAAAGCGATAGTGAGGTTTTAAAATCTCATGCGATACTATTTCAAGGCTTTTGCAAAAATAAATAAATAAGTAAAAGGGCTCCCAAGATTCAGTATGCTTAATCTCCAGTGTGCGTCCTATGCAGTGTTTTGTCACCGAGTTCTATTTTTCTAATTTAATAACTATGGTGTGTGTGCCCTAAACAAACCTGAGTTAGCAAGGAGCAGATTAAATGTGAATGATGGCTGGCAATACTAACTTGATAAATCAAGATAATTAGAGGTGAAAAGTTGTTGACCTTAATTGCACTAAGGCTCTTATGATTGCTTTAATATATTTGTATCTGTGATACAGTTTTTTTTTTTTTTTAAATATCTTTGGACCTGCCTATAAATCTGTATATTTTGGTAGGTGGAAAGTTAATAACACTGTTGAAACTCTGTAAATATGTACATATTCTGAGGATTATCATGACGAAAGTTGTAAAATTCCTGTACAAAAAACTTTAATAAATCTGGTTTCATAACAAATTGTTCACCTCCTTTGAAGCTTTATGTAATTTCCTCATTTTTGATCCTGCCGCAATCTTGCAACACTTGGCACTTACGATGTCCCAGTGAAAACAAATATGTCAGAGTTAAAACAACAATATAACGCAAATTGCAAAATCAAAACTGGAAGGAGAGAAAAATGATAACAACTAGAGGTGTAGATAATGTTATTGGAACAACTTTTTTTAAAAAAAGGCTCAGTTTTTAATAACTTTCTAAAGTTTCTTGGGAGAGGCTGCTCTGGTTTCAAGGAAGTCCTATTCCACCACATTTGGTGCTACTCCCAAAAAGCGACATTTACTAATTTGCAGGAGCCAATGTGAATCTTTCACCGGAACCCAAAGGTGTGTCATTCTGGAGAGAGAAGTTCCCTGAGAATGGGCTCCAGCACAAGTCCAAAGACTTGAGAGAATAAATAAGAATAAATCTCTTGTTCTGGTGACTGACTCCAATTGGATCCTTGGGGTACGTATATTTGCCTTCATTTGTGAGAGAGATGGGCAGCCAAGGCTTTGAACAGTTCTAGTCCACTTCTAGAAAGCTGGACCAACAAGGAATCCCTCTTTATATGATGTTGTAGGCCAGGTGGAATTTAGTCAGAGAAGGTAGTCTGGGAAATACTCCAGAGTTTTGTTGACACGATTTAAATTGGATTCTGGTAACCAGGGCAGGGCCCACACTCTACATATATGTTCCCATCATTCTGGATTAGTTCTAACTTCCCGAGAGCCTTTAAAAGCAGCCTCATGCAAAGGACATTACAGTAATCTACGTATGAGTTGCAGTCCCCAGGACTTCTTGCACCAAGAAAGGATGCAGATGCCTCCAACCCTGCGATCCATGCAGAAAGAAGAAATCCAGGAAGATGTCCCACAGCATTTCCCCCAGTTATAAGCCTGCTACTGGGTAGCTTGTGCTCGTCCATCCATGGATCAACTGAGACCAAAGGAGAACCAGACAGAAGTTCCATATTACTTGGGTTCCATTAGAACCTGGTTCCCCCCACCACCCCCGCCCCAATCCAGAGCTTCATTAGTCTTCAGGATACATATAATCTACCTCAACAACTTGGCGTAGTGATGTAGAATTCTTACTGAAGAATTGTACATCAGCAACGGTAATTTATCCACCCCCACCACACTCTCCACCTAATCTTGTTCCAGTCCTGTTAATCCAGGGGTTTCAAAGTCAAGGCCTGGGAACCAGATCTGGCCTGAGGGGTGCTTAGATCTGGCCTGTGGGGCCGCCCTAGAAACAGTGAAGGACTGGCCCATGGTGCCTTTGCCAGCAAAAACGGAGCTCAGGAGGGCCACCGGCGACCCTCTGGAGCTCTGTTTTCGCTGGCAGAGTGCTCGGGCCGCCACAGGCGCCCCCGACAGGAATGACGTCGAGCTGGCCACGCCCACCCTGACCCCCTGAGGTCAAACACAACCCTGACGCGGCCCTCAATGAAACCGCTGAGTTTTGACACCGCGGTGTTAATCCTGCGCTGCTCCTCCCATTTGTGGCTGTCATTTGTGGCTGTGTACGCTGGAATCCCCCCAACCCACAATAACTAGATTAACAAGAATGACATGGGACGCAGGCCAGAATCACAGGAGGGAGGTTCTTTTTCCCAGGGAGCAAAAGTGACAAAGAAACTTGGAATCTTTGGTATGCAGAAAGAGAGCGAAGGTAGGCTCTCCCTAAGCAGCTCACAGGATATTTCTGGTGGTTATGCAGTGCTTTAGCCTGGCAAGATTTTTGTCACGGGCAAGAAACTGCTCTGAGGTAACTTCTTGTGTTGTTTTTTATTATGTGTCTTGGACCAGACACACAATCAATCTTTAGGACCATGGCAGGTGCCTGCAAGTATATTTTTTACCTAAGTGTGTCATCTTGCCTATTCCTGGCTCCACAAGGTAGTCCTCGACTTACAGTTCATTTAGTGACCGTTTATAAAGTTACAACAGCACTGAAAAAAGTGACCTTTACGACCATTGCAGCATTCTCCAGCGTCACATGATTTACATTCGGATGCTTGACAAATGACTCACACTTATGCCGGTTGCAGCGTCCTGGAGTCATGCGATCCCCTTTCGCAACCTTCTAACAAGCAAAGCCAACGGGGGAAACCACATTCACTTAACAACCATATTATTCGTTTAGCAACGGCTGCAACTCATTTAACAATCACGGTGAGAAAAGTTGTAAAATGGGGCAAAGCTCACATGTTTCACTTAGCAATAGAGATTTGGGGCTCAGTTGTGGCCGTAGGTTTGAGGACTACCTGTACTTGGTTAGTTGGTGAGCAGGCGTGTTTACCCAAAGCTTTCTTTTCAGTCCATCTCCTGCTCTTATAGGACTAAAAGCTAATTACTCCTGCCTTCTCAGCTAGAGAATATGCATTTTTTTTTCTGTAGGTGGATTGTATAGGCAAATTATGGGAAGGTTACATCTATTATAATTGATGTCCAGCAAGCCATTCGTCATCTGTGATACTTCTCACCACCTCCAGTCCTGCTGCCAGAGAGCTTAGTCAACGAGTGAAGCAATGTAAGGATTTACTCAGCTGAAAGATTTCATTTATGTTCAGAGATGGTATTCAGCAGGTTCTGACTGGTTCTGGAGAACCAGTACCGGACATTTTGAGTAGTTCGGAGAACTGACAAATACCACCTCTGACTGGCCTCACCCCCATCTATTCTCTGCCTCCCATCGGCTGAGTCTTCTTTTGTTGCCCTGCACAGGAGAACGGAGCTGGAAAGCAGGTTAGTGGGGTGGGGAGGGAATGGGGATTTTGCAGTATCCTTCGTCTGTCACACCCACGAAGCCACTCCCACCAAGCCATGCCACTTCCACAGAACCAGTAATAAATTTTTCTTAATCGCACCACTGTTTATGCTGTGATTTTGTTTTCCTTAATAGGTCCTTAACCGATCCAAAAAAGACTCTTGAAGAGTCAGTTGTTTGGCCACTATTGCTGAACAAATTTGTTGACAAAAAATAAAAATAAAAACAGGCCTGGCATAAAGGTATAAAGGTAGCAATGTATACAAGGGTGGGATTCAAATTTCTTAACAGCCAGTTATGTGGGCGTGGCCTAATTTGTGGGCATGGCTTGGTGGTCATGTGACTGTGAGCATGGCAGGTGTGTAAATATATAAATATTTATGTAAATATTGAATGTTTTATAAAAAAAAAGAGCAACTTTTCCCAAAAAGCAGAGGCAGATTGAGTTGCTTGCAGAATCACAGATTCACTCAGAGATCTATCTTTCTGCAATCTGCTACCTGAGTCTGCACTGAAAAATAGAAGCTTCAGTCCTAAGGAAATTTCAGCTCTGCTTTTAGATTAGCTAGAAAACAAGAAATCCCTTGATTTCCTGTGTTCTAGCTAATTTAAATCCCCCAGCACAGCAGAACAGCTAATGGTTGGGGGGAGGGGGAGAAAAATAGCAATGTACACAGACAAGTTTGATAGCGCATATACCAGATAAGGAGTGAGTGGATGAGGCAGGGCAGGGACAGCTAGAGGCGCGATTTGCCAGTTCTCCGAACTGCGCAGAATCGTAACAACCGGTTCTATAGAACCAGTCCCACCAGGTAGAATCCCACCCCTGAAGGTATATATGATATTTGATACTTTAGTATGTAAGTCAAGGACGATGCCAAGACGGTCACACTGTATTCCAGTATTTTAATGTGTAATAAAATTTATATATAAAAAAAATCTAGGCCTGGCCATCCCTTTTCCCATCTCATTTTCATGCATGGTAGAGAACGGCTGGATATAGAATACCCATTTTTATAGACACTTAATTGGCCCAAACTGTTCTTTCCTTTCCCATTTCTATTCATTCATCCTTCCTCTTTTTAAGTGAAAGTGAATAGAAGTTAAGTGAAAAAGTTCAGTGAAAAAAGCCACACAGATTAAGATGATCACCACTCCAGAGGTGGTATTCAGCAGGTACCGAGCAGTTCTGGAGAACCGGTAGTGGAAATTTTGAGTAGTTCAGAGAACCAGCAAATCCCACCTCTGACAGGCCCCGCCCCCATCTATCCTCTGCCTCCCAAGTCCCAGCTGATTGGCTGGGTCTTCCTTTGTTGCCCTGCACAGGAGAACAGAGCTGGAAAGCAGGTTATTGGGGTGGGGAGGGAATGGAGATTTTACAGTATCCTTCCCCTGCCATGCCCACCAGCCACACCCACAGAACTGGTAGTAAAAAAATTTGACTCCCACCACTGGAGACAACTTATGGAGGGTCCCCAAACCATTTCCTCACTCCCTATATTGCCATATGAGAAAATCACAGCAGTTGCTGAAGTAACTGATGTCATCTAAATCGTAAAATGTTGAAAAGGGAAAATTGAAGTACACGTAGTCCTTGACTTATGACCACAACTGGTCCTGAGATTTCTGTTGCTAAGAAAGACATTTAAGTGAGTTTTGCCCCATTTGATGACCTTCCATGCCACGGTTGTTAAGTGAATCACTGCAATTGTTAAGTTAGTAGTACTTCTTAAGTGAATCTGGCTTCCCCACTGACTTTGCTTGTCAGGAGGTGGCCAAAGAGAATCACCTGACCCCAGGGCACTGCAACCGTCATAAATATGAATCAGTTGGCAAGCGTCTGACTTTCGATCACGTGGATGCTGCGACGGTCATAAGTGTGAAAAGTGGTCATAAGTCTTTTTCCCCCCCTGTGCTGTTGTAATGTCCAATGGTCATTAGATGAATGTTATAAACCGAGGACTACCTGTAAAGACTTCCACAGGGAGGTCAGCTGAGGAAAGCAATGTTGTGTCATTATCTCTCAAACTCTGGCTCTTTTTTCTTTTTTTGGACTAGATTTGTGACCCCCACTCCCACTTCAACCTCAAACTATCCACTATTGACCTCACCCCATTCCTAAGAGGTCTGTAAGGGCACCATCGTGCCTTCTGACCCTGTCCTATTGTCCCCATGTATTCTATTTCCTGTATTCTTACTCATG